AAGCTACAGAGCTGCGAAATAGCAGCGGCGCGGAAGGAATATTTGGACGAAATGTCAGAAAGAAAAAAGAGACGTACGATTGCAAGTTCCTCAAAAAATACCGTCGTAAACTGAAGTTTTCTGGCAGTCTCTAACATGACCGTACTATTCCTCGGTATCTCAGAGCTTTATTGTAAGTGGGGCGCCTCAACGAGGCCATCATAATACGTACTTTTGTGGGTGTGTACATCACTCAAACCGGTTTTGGAGTGCCTATAGCGCTTAGCCGCTTTTCGGCCCGACAATGTTCCACGTGCTGTCCTAGTAGCTAAAGTTCATTCTGAAGGGGAACCGTAAAGACCATATTCATCATGAACTGTGCCGTTAAGTTCTGGCAAGATTGAGAAGAAGTCTTTTTTTCATGTACGTACAAGAACGAAAAAGGAAATATCTATTACATAATTGTTCAAATTATTTATTTGCAAGTCCGAGGCTCTTAGCGATGGGATTGTACTAGTTGTCAGTTGTTCCAGGCGTATGTTTCATGATGGTGTTCTGTTCGCTAGTCGAGTATGCGGCGGTGGGCTACATCAATAAGCGAATGAAATTGCAAGAGAAAAAGAAGGAAGACAAGTAAGTTATGAGAAAATAGAAAGAACAGGTACGTTGCTACCGTCGAACCTTCATGTGTCACCATCTATTCAACTTTCGTGAATAAAATTCACTGTGACCCGTGGGGTCCGAGGTGTGCCGAAATACACAACTGCCCCCACAGAACTTTGCTCATCTTCCTTTCCGCGTGAGAGAGGGGTCTGGGAGTCCTATGAGGACCAACCGATGTTGCCGCGCCATGTCCTGGGCGGACTAGACAATGGGCGCTTTCTGACTCATACCCCGGTGACCATGTGGGTGCTATACTGATTATCTATCGGTGATCTCCTTCCCTCTGACTTACAGGGCACTAATTATGTGAGTGAAAAAGTCAGATACCTTGCTTTTCCCCACTATTCGAGGCGTCCAATGCTTCAGAATCAACTAAGTTTCTCTACTTGTCTCCTGCATTCTATCCTTTTAGGCTGACCAGTATCAAATGAGCGATCTCGTGAGAAAAAGACTTCGAGTTCTCGATAGTGAATTTGTCTAATTTGTAGAATTGTGCAGATATTAAATCCACTTTTTAGTATAGAAGCTATAGAAACAATTACTAATAATTAACCTCAGGGCAGATGATCTAGAACAATTCCACGGCATGGTTTTTTTCATGCCGACTATTTCAGAGCTACCGTTGGGGTAACATCACCAGTTGAACCGCCGCCGTCACGAACCGTCTCCATGCCGGCCTATTTCAATCGAGGCTATCGGCCATTTTACTCGTCAACGGATACTAACTCGAATCTGTACATTCCCGAAGGACAACGACCTCCACTTACTCTGCAGGTGCCGCGTCCTGTTCGAGTGCTGCACCGCGTTGCACGTATTCCTGCTCGCACGATTTTGCCTGTTCCGACTGCGTGATGAATATTGTGTTGTTTGAGTTGCAGCTTGACAAAAGATCTTTTGACAGGCTGGCTGCTTTGTAATGACGGTTTTTCAGGAGTTGGACTGCCAATGTCCTTTACCGCCCACAGAAGAATCATGCCTAAGGTATGGTTTTTTTCAATTGTCACGGGACTCTTCTGTCATCTGTTTCGAATGCCTTGTCGCTAAGACTTTCAAAGCATCAATTTCAGTCGCGGTTCGGGAACCTCAACGTTGACGATGCTGAAACCGATACGGGCACGTCGACGGTTCACATGGAAGTGCCTTCTTCGACCATCGAACATAGACAAATATTCTCGGTGGAGCTTTCCCACTGTAAGCTCTCCTGATAGTTTTAGTCGCTCCTTACGGGTAATCTGATAGTTAGCCCCTTTTCTGGAGTGTATAACAGCCGGGTTCAGAAAAATTTGATGATATTGATATTTCTTATAGTAGCGGGAGGATGTCCTTTATAAACGGGTTCTGGAAACCCAAAAAATGGGTCATACTCCGCCCAAGTGGTACACATTATCGGCAGTGTTGATTATTTTTGTTAATGGAGGTGGTCACCTATACCTTCCGAGTAATAGGCACCATTTTGTGGGCGCTCGTCTTTGAATAGTAAACGGAGAATGTCGGGCATCGGTGGTTCAGTGGTAGAATGCTCGCCTGCCACGCGGGCGGCCCGGGTTCGATTCCCGGCCGATGCAACGTTTTGTTTCTTTCAAACTTTGCGATATATTGCTTGGGGTTACAATTAGTGCGTTCTGAGTCATTAGTCGTTTTACGAGATAATTATCCCATAAATCACTCGGGAAAGTGCAAAATGGGAGTTCCCTCAGAGTTAACCTTCTACTAGTCTGTCTCCACTTTGACAAACGCTTGGGATTGCATGAATACCTGACGCGAGAGCATGTCAAATGCTAGACTGTACCTATTGCTCATTTCGTGGGACAGGGACAAATGGGTTGAGGGAAAATTCGCATGAAACCGTGGTACGCCTGCCCGGGCGTCATACTGATTGGGCGCTTTCCGCTCGCGTAACATACTGACTGACGGGAACCATAAAGGATGAAGGATAAGGTCTATGGGCGGCAATTAATCCCTCCTGAGAGAGTGGCCCTCGCATCGCATTGGACTCCCATTCAGTACCGTAGTAGTAGATTGAGTTGAATGTATGGCCTATACAATGACTTGCGATGACAATNAAAGGATAGTCTCCCCCCCCCCTTCCTTCCCCCGCATTCGACTTTCATTCAGAATCGTAGTGGCGTAATGAATGCGTATCTGGCCTGTACAATGACTTGCGATGGCAACCGATGTACAAGTTAGGGCTTTTAACCTCCCAGACGAGTGTGGTACCAATTAACCGTCCCCGGAGAGATGTGAAACTTGGTTTGCTTAGGCGGATATCAGTTACAGTAAGATTTCTGAATACCAAATTCGTACCAGGACCTGGGACATCCATCCATGCCCTCGCTTTTTGGTTCAGTGGATAATCATCGAGACTCAACGGACTGACTAAATCTCAACTTTTCAGCTCTTCATCCTATTCAACGTCGGCTATTGGAGCTATTTCCTCAGGATCAGCCACAATGATGCCGTGCTCACGACCGACTTTTGACCCGATCGATTGAATCTAATTTCACAAATATTGAAATTTCGTTAATAAACCCGTACCGTACCGATCTCTTTCCCAATGTCGCCCATCAGGTGTCTCGTATTCAATCGTCAGACAGTCATTGTTTTTTGAACGGGTAAACGCCTTTATTTCTTCGATTCTCTAGGGAATACCCATATAGACCTGGTGTAACTGTCACACATTCTATGACACTAAGCACTAAACTAACATTTCTTTTTGAGATTTCCTCGGAGGAAATCGATAAATCGATATTTCCTCGAGCTTATCTATATATTTCAGATGGTTATACAATGGCTGATATTGACTACTTCTGGGGACGACAACGATCTGATCCACGGCAAAGTGCGGTCGTATTCGGCAATTTTATGCTACCACAATTCAAGCAGACTTGTTATCATGTAAATTACACACAAGCAACCACATCATCAGGTAGGAGGAGTTTCCCATGAATACGCTTTTCATAACGAGAAAAAGTTTCGATCATGATCGCATGCAAATAATGATTGCAAGAACTTAGGGATTATCTATTTGTAATTTATATTTGTAACACATTTCCCTTGGAAAATGCAAACTTGAAACTGTTTTGAAAAAAGCTATAAGACGATATTATCAAATTGTCTCTCGGCTCGGGGACAATGTATTTTTGCAAATCCAAAATCAGATGTAATGATAAAGTATAAGTTAACGTCTTTGACGTTGATCAATCCCATTTTGGAATGTGCCTCTGCACTCGGCTTCCATTCTGGATCCTAGTGACGTTTGGAATGCGTATGAGGCCTGTTGTCCATGACTTGGGCTAGCCGGTCGATGTATTGAATTGGCGATAGAACTCTGACGACATTATCTCAGAAGATCAGCACCTGCGCCATGTCACCTATTCTTCTACCACTCCGGCTTATATGTAGGCTGCCGCGGTTAGAATGAGGAAGGTGCATAATGATCATGTCCTCTGTTATAAGACAACGGCTCGCTCGTGCTAGCTCTCCAAGATGGGAGACTACAACCTTGAAGATAAAGAATGGCTTGGACGCCGTTCACAACTCAACTTGATCTAGTTACGGCATGAAGTGAAAAAAGATCCTTAAGAAACTACGGCGTACGATGAGAAAAGGAACAGGAATATACGGCGTGTAGTGAGAAAAGACTTTTACAAATCTGAATACAAGGAAACTGATGAACACGCTAGAGCTTGCAGTCCCATAACTGAGACTGATTTGAAGAAGCTGGGAATCCAGAAAAAGTGGAACGTTATGTACCGCACCGCTCAAGTCTGCCGTTAGTGATCGTATGTGAATGCCTGCTTGTTTTGCACAAACCAAAGAGCTTGCTAAAAAATTTCTTTACTGGTCAAAAAACGTTAGTCTACTACAACAACATCCACAGGAAATCGCATCGGATCGCTTCGGACAGGAGAAATGCCGAAAGAAATTCTCGAAGATGTTCATCCCAGGCACATAGGTTATGCTGGCAATCTGGTGGGATGTACGTGGGTCATCACTTGGGAACTGCTCTACGGGAGAGCCAGCCTCGATGCCCATCTCTACACCCAACAGCTACGAAATCCTAAAAGCGAAAAAGAAAAAGCGAAAGCGATCAGTGAAAAGGCATTCACAAACTTCCAGCATGGCAATACCGTACCCCTCGTTTCAAGAATGGCGACGTCGGAGCTAGTGCAGCATGAGTGGGCAGCCCTATTCCTTCCGACAGGTTGTTTCCCGATAAAAACTCCATTCCTGAACGAAAAAACTTTCAAGACCAGATCAACTCGAATCCAGTTGACGTCGCATTTTGCCTCACCCGAACCATTTTGTAGAGAAGGCATCTACAGTTGCTGAAGGCTAGCTAGAAGTAGTCGACAACGGTGCTGGTTATATTTAAACTTGTATATTTCTGCACATTGATAAAACTTTTAGTCAAAAAATGAACGAACCTTCTCGCCAACTTATAATAATACAACTCAGTGCTTTTATCCTCCTAACGAGTATGGTACCAATAAATCAACCTCGAGAGATGGAGGCTTGCTCGCCTGACAATGGGGCGAATATGAATCCGAAATTCGATCTTTGGGAGGTTTACTTCATACTCCACCCACCACCCCATGTTAATAATGCTAAAGTAAACAGTAATACGTCTATATGACAGCTACTTTAAGGGTGGAGGTGGTGTTGTGGCAAGTGGCCCACTATATTACACGCACGGTCAGGGGTTCGGATCCCGGATCGATGCTCGCTTAGGCAAACCAAGCCTTTCATCTCTGCGGGGTCGGTGAATTGGTACCAGACTCGTCTGGGAGGATAATAGCGCTTACTTGTACATCGGCTGGCCACCGCAAGTCATTGTACAGGACACATACGCACTCATTACGCCACTACGATTCTAAATGGAAGTCGAGTGCGGGGGCGCATCTCTCAGACGGGATTGATTAACGCCGAAAACTTTATCCATTACTTTTATGCTAGCTCGTTTAACGAGCATGTTTCTCTGCTCGAGAATTTTTTGCCTTTTCGAAAATGACCTTTAACTTCTGCGTCAAGTTCAGTTCAAATATTCCCTTTGTTATTATTTAGTCGTTTTGAAGCCGAGGCTCGTAGTTATAGAGTAAGGTCATCCATTATTTGATACCTGTGAGTTCGACACTTGTGGCTGCGATTTTCCATTTCACTTGTGCAATAATTCTGAAAGCATTTCAACTACTTTCGAGATGTAAAAACCACTGCTGAGCCATTTAAATAATGAGAACAGCTCATGCCGTTTCGAAACATGAAAATGACAAAAAGTAGATGCTGGAATTGCCTTTCTTTATCGACTTGATACTTCGCATTTGGATGAGAATCCAAATCAGAAGTAAATTGTGGCCTGTGAAATGGAAGAGTTTCCCTCAAATGATATGTGATTCATGTGATTCAATGCTTAAGATCGGAATAACCGAAAGCAGGGGCTGCGATTTCTTGAGTGGTTATAGTATGGTCCAAAGTCTGAAGCAAAAAAAACATGTCAGAGATGCATGTAAGTGCCGCAGGAGCTCTAGACCTAGATTTGGTACGGGGGTGAAGTAATGCTGAAGGTCTAACCATAACCATGGCCCAAGAATTGAACCCAGGTCAGATACCCAACTTTGTCAACCGAGCATGACTTGCATCCCCCCATTGTCGGCTTAATGACTTCGGGCTCGTATGGGGGAATACGGCGTGGCCCGCAACTTAAAAAGGCTTCCCTCACCCCTACTGTCATGATGTCAGTTGCACAGTCGCATTCTTAAACAGCAATTTTTGACAGCAATCAATTTTCCTTCGCTCAGAGAATTCAGTTTTCATAACATCGAAAATCTATTTGAACCGTATTCATATTTTTTCTAATGAACTCTAGTGTAAACGGACTTCATCGAATGAGTCGTATTTTCAGGGTCGTATAGGCGTTTATACTTTGAAATTCTTCTCGTCAGAAATATGGGTTTCTATTCAATGAATATTGTCATTCCTTCTATGCTCATCGTTACTATTTCATGGGTAAGTTATTGGATTACCTACTGTATCATGCTCTATAGCCCATCCCCAGTCGAAGGATTTCTGACATGCAAATATCTCTTGACGTTCAGGTATCTTTTTGGTTGAATCGGGAAGCGTCACCGGCTCGTGTCGGCCTTGGTGTCACCACTGTGCTCACAATGACCACTCTCATCACCACAACTAATGTAAGCCTTTAATAATTCCTATGTTTGTTCTCGAATGAGGTTCTGTGCGTAAAATCTTTAAAGTTGATAAGACTCTTGAGAGAAAAAATCGTGAAACTATCAGTGGATCTTGTTGAGGCCCACGTTTTTGTCCTGTGGCTGCTTTCATAGTCCGCCGGCGTGCCGGCGTGCCAGCCGAGGTAGTGTTAGGAGGGGGGAGGGAGGCAGACGGTCGGTCGACGCGGTCGCGTTGCGCTCGAGCCCTTCCCCGCCGGCACCCCGGCGGACTATGAGAGCAGCCTGTCGGAGTATTATTGTGAAGGCTGTCATCGGGTTTTCTTTCTTAAATTCTAAGTAACTCTGGCAATGGCTTGACGGATCAGTTACAAAAGGCAAATTGCTTAATTTCAGAACTCCATGCCAAAAGTCAGCTACATCAAAGGATTGGATGTCTTTCTGAATTTTTGGTGAGCTCATTTTATTCTGAAAAATTCCTTTGGGGTAAGTTATCTGAGAGTTTTCAGTTTCGTGATGGTTTTCGCCTCATTGGTCGAATATGCTGTCGTATCGTATATGAACAAACGAATTGCTCTTCGACGAGAAAAACGACGGCGTCAAGCCGAACAACAACAACGAAATGAAGTGCCGATGTTTAGCAATCCTGTTACACCTAAACAACCCAACAACAACGTAAGCCTTATCCTGGCTTTCATTTTTAATGCTTTCCAAGTGTGTTTGCTTGATCGGGCTACATTAATGCTCTGCGCTTTCCCCGCTATAACTCGTTGTGCCCTTACACGAAAGCCATGGATTCCTTTACTCGAGACCTTCAGAAACCAGCGTCATGGGCACTTCCTTGGCCAACGACGTAATGCCCTCGGGTGAAGACAGGAATGTACTCGAGCAACAAGTGTCAGCTGGGTCCGACTGTCTGGCATTATTCGAACTCCGGTTAAATGTCGAAAAGACCGTGTACATGACCACGGAGTGAAATAAGCTCGGCACCATCAAAATTGACAACGCTGAGCTTCCGCAAGCACTCTTCTTCGGGTCTGGCATCTTCTCCCGGCGTATCGCGCTCGCCGCTATGAAGGGAAAGATTTGAGTTCCCAATGGAAGGATACGGAGAGTCGCCCGCAACCAGAGCGGCAGGCGGCGGGAATTCGGGTAGAACTTCCGTTATCCCTCTTCTTCGAATATCTGGGATCAGCAGTCGCATCCGAATCCATTCTAGCTTCTACAATTACTTCTCATGTGAGTGCGGTTCGATATAAATGACGCTCTATGACTGGAGTTCTCTGTGACAAGAAAGTACCAGCTCGCCTCAAATCAAGCATCTGCAGAATGTCGTACAATCATTCGTAACTTACGGTGCGGAGTGCTGGCCTATGACAAACGAATTTGAAAAACGTCCCGATGTAATGGAACGAAAATGCTACGTTGAACGACTGAAGTCACGCGTGTCCGCAATGAGAAAGCGCTCCGGAGTAGCCGCTATTGCTGATAAAATAACGAAGTTCACCTTAGATAGTACACCTATCTCCTACGCACGGACAAAGGCAGTGTTGTAAGATCAGCTCCGGCTTCGACGTACCCGGAAACGGCCAGAGGGGCGTTAAAAGCAGCGCTTTCTTGGTGCGCCGAAGATGGAGAAGTCGAGCGTTTTAGATTCAAAAAAGCGAGGACAGGGAGAGGGGGAAAAGACCAGCAGATGCCTATTACCACATTTGCCAACCGATGTTAGAAAATAAGCGAATCAAGCATTTTAAACGGCATTTGTGGGCCCGTTTGTCTTGATTAGTGGAATGGTACTTGATTTTTCTATCTGAGGCAGAATCTCACGACCTACTCAGTGGATATGGAGTGTTTTCTCTATTGCTAGCATTTTGTAATTAACTCCAATAACTAATTCTTTTTTAACTAATCAAGGTGTGTTTGTAGGTCTACGAGATGGCGATGATATCGCAGAATTCGACACCGGCGAAGACTTTCGTTCCGCATGTGAGTGAAGTTCTAACTGTCTAATTGATTTGGTCAAAATAGCACTCAAGCCGCTGCACGCAACAACCGGGCGCGCGGCAGTGAGGCGGCGAAATTGGCACGAAGAAACGAAGAAAATCATTCTTAGGCTGTGTGACTAACATTTTGGATTTTCAATCTTTTGTAGTACAAGTTGAATGTGCATCTACCTGCCAAACTGTGACATAGTGAAGCTGCGCAGAGGTCTTCCTCGTAGCGTTTTACTTCACTGAATGAGAGTACTAGGTTCTACCAGCTATGGGTGTTTGTTCATTATATACTTTTTTACCTTTTGTCATAGTGACTGCAGATCTCCGGGCTTGCATTATGAGGTTTTGACCCAGGGCAATACCTTGAATGGACCTTGGAAATTTCCGCTGAAGCGGACTTCAAAAACTGCGGTTTTGAAGGCACTTCAGAAACTTCGAAATGCAAGGGGTAAAATGCTCCACCCATGGCATGCACGGGTATGGTAATCTTGAAGCAGTCAATGAAGCTGTTTAAGAATCAAAATCTGTTGCTAAAAAAAGTCAATATATTCCAGGGAGATCTATACTACGAAGCGCACAATACATCTACGGTTCGTATAAATTCTAGCTTTTCTTCTACTGTTCGTACTGTCCTTGTGCCTTATGTGCTGCGTTTGGTTAACAACTGTTGCTCTGCCATATAGAAGTCAAGTCTTCTTTCGCTTTTCAAATTAAGTTTGGCATTGGCAATCGTAGAAATCTTGAGCACTTTGCTATTTGCACTCGCAGAACTTTGATAGTTCAGAAACCGCTTTGTAAGACCATCTTTCCAATTTTGACCTGTTCTTAATTGCCTACCAACATCTAGCATTTGTTGGAAGCTATTTCATAGCAATTTCTTGATTTTAAGGTGACTCTCGCCAATGCTTTTGTAGCGCTTTTGTGATGTATGATTTACTGTGGATTCATAGAGCGTTCTCATTTTGTTGGTCCCATTAGATCCGCCTGCTTTTGTTACTATTTGTTAAACTGTATTGAAATTTAACGTCCAGTGGCACGAATACGATTCTGTCGAAGCTAGACCGAACTGCTTTCCTACGCCTACTAATTTCGTCAATTTTACCTTCTACGAATGGAGTTGATGTATTGTTGACTACTAACGTTAACTATTAATCTCCTCAACCTTTTCTCCTTCTCTGCTGATTCCCACTGCAGATTCAATTGCTCATCCAACTCGTGATACATCCACATGTTGATCACTCAGTCCAAGAAGTAAAACCGACGGTTACCGGGCCATTCGTTGATTAGAGATATCAGTGCTAGAGCTCTGGGATCTCTGTTCACTAGAGCTTAAAGGCACAATTCGCGATAATTCAATGGGCGGATATGCCAATGACGTGTCCGCCTCTCATTCGATGTCCGTCAGACAGTCTGACGTGACATCGAATGAGAGGCGGACACGTCATTGACATACCCGCCCATTGAATTATCGCGAACTGTGCCTTTAAGTGGGTCGTGTGCCAGTATGAAGCAGTACTCGGCATTAGCTCAAGGCGTCAAACGGTATAAGTAATAGCATTGATTTATGTAAAAGCACTCACTGGAAGACTCAGGAAAGTGGTAATTGTGCTAGTGATAATGAAACGCTAGTCGTAATATATTGAACGTGACTGACCTTCTTGAATACTCATGCAGGTTCTGATATGTAAGGGCTCACTGAAGTCTGAAGAGCCATTGTTAGGCTCTGCCAGAAGATTTACAATGTGGCTTAATCCGATCCCTTGATTCTTTAAGGGATAAACCTTCTGTGGTCAGATCTTACATAGCCTATACTCTTTTTTAGCTCAGGATTTAAGTACTGTAGTATGTAGTCAGAACATTTTACGTTCCAGAAAATGTTTGGGTTGCTACTAGGTGTACAGTAAACATGGGATTCAATGCTCAGGTGGGTGACAAATGTGTAGGAATACGTAGCTGAATAGGTAACAAGGGATACCAGCTTCTTCTCAGCCCGGTATCCCCGAAATGCGCAAGTCTGTAGCGATGTAAAGCTTCAGAGGCTTTTAGCGAGGAATTACTAGGAGTCCAATCCATGTGCTGTGATGGAAAATGCAGGGCAACGATAAAAAAGTGTGCTCCAAATGGACCGAACCTCTGCATTCGACATCAGAGGCAATTGAATTTGGATTTGGCTGAAAAAAGCGCTTTCTTTCGAAAACCATCTCATCTTCGGGAATCTTTTTTGTTAAGTAATGTAATAACCCATAAATAAAGTGCCAACACTGAAATGCTTTCGTACTGTCCCTTTCAATCCCACCTCGACTCCCTGATTTACCTGTTACGACTTTTCCTAAGTGGTTTCAGAGCTATATAGGGGAAAACCGTAGAAATTGCTATTTCAGAGTCAGTTGATGGAGATTCCTGTGGATTGCGATTGTCGAACGATTCCGCTTATACAACATCCTCGACTTGTCGCAGATGGTACACACACAATGTGGCCGGCACCGTTTGGAAAACCGAAAAAGGTAGGTGCTCAGGGAAGTTTGCCACCTTGAGGAACTTTGTGTAGGTGCTCAGGGAAGATAGATGCTCCGGGGAGGTCGCCAACTTGAGGAAGTGTGTTATAGGCTAGCCAAACTGTTAACAAGACGATATGGTCTTTTCGAAGAAGGGAGAAGATAATCAGCGTAGTGGCGGTAATAGCTATTAGGTGAAGGTAGTAGTGGCATGAACTACAATGCTGGAAACCCATCGTGCTGGAAGGAGCAGAAGAAAAACGACATACAGCTGTAGAGCGCCAGTGGACAGTTCTGAAAGACAGATTGGCCACGCGCGTGTGTGTTCTCCTTCCGCTAAAGGGAATGGAGCTGCTGAACCCTCTCCTCCGCTGCTTGCCGTGGGAATTCAGGGAGAAGTTTCGCGACACGACTCTGCTGTCAAAGTCTAGAACGAAGACGGCTAGAGAACAGCGAATGACGGGTCTGGGTGCTGCTGAGTGGGAAAATGTGAGCCAGGAAAGCTGCTATTGGGTTGTAACATAAGTTCGTAGAGTTTTGCGTTAGAATTATTTACAACGAGTTATTTTGTTTCTTAGCAAAGTGTATACATTCATTTGAA